TAAAACCCCCATACCAGCCCCACACACTGTTCCCTGGCACCTCCAAACCAGCCCCAGAGCCCCCCAAATTCCTAACCCCACACACTATCCTGACACCCCTAAATCCCACACTATCCCAAGCCCCCCATTCGCCCCAATCCCACACCCTCCCCATACCCCCTTAGCTCCCGAAGCCCAGCCACTGCACCCCTAGGACACCTCCCAGCCACCCCTTCCAAGCCCACCCTTCTACCCTCCCCATACCCCCTTAGCTCCCGAAGCCCAGCCACTGCACCCCTAGGACACCTCCCAGCCACCCCTTCCAAGCCCACCCTTCTACCTCCCTGGCCCCCAGCACTCCATTGCCCCCAACCCGCAGGAGCCCCGAGGTCGCCCATGTGACGGCGCGTTGGGGGTCCACCGTCTCCTGCACCCCGAAATGGCACAAACAGACTCCACCAGCCAGTGGAATTGAGGGTGGTTTATTGCTCCTCCAGGATACAGCATAGCACAGATGTGATCTGGTTACAGGAACTGGGGCTAAGAGGCCTCAGTGCCCCCCTTGAGATAGAGGAGTCCCAGCCCCCTCCCCAGCTCCTTCTCCCCTGCTTTCCAGACAGGAACTAACCACCTCTCCTCCAGCCCTGCCCCCAGCCAGGGCAGCATCCACCTCCCTTTGTTTCTCCCCATGGGGGGTAGGCTGGTTCCACCGTATGGTACCTTTGCATAGTGAGGTTTTCCCTGCTGGGTCTTGCTCCAGACAGCAGTTGAGAGCCAGGCTGGCCCGGCTCCGGAAGCTGCCGGCCTCATTCATGTAGACGTAAACGGCGCCACCTGCCTCCTGCTTCCGATCGAAGTAGTACGGGGCCCCGGCCCCCAGGTCCTGCCACCTGCCGGATGGGCCAAGAAGGGCAGGGTCAGGGCCACGGGGCACCGGCGGGGCCGGGGAGCTGCAGACCCGGCGTGTTCCGGAGACCCCCAAAGAGCTGGGCTCAGGAGCTCCCCCCACAGCCACAGAGACCCCCAGTTCCAAGCTATTGGGCCCCCCAAGCCGAGCTATGGAAATCCCCCACGCTCTGGGTC